GATGCTTGAGCCTTCCCTTCCTGTTTGCTGCAATGACAACCCCCCACCCTTACCTTCTGGTATTCAAGTTTAAAAACCCAAGTACAGCATGCTTGGTAATCATAGTGTCAATGTAATGTGTAGCTGTGCCCTTATAATATGGGCTTTTCAATTGTTTAACCTTCATCCCACAAATACCTCCACACTACTCTGGTGTGAATAATAAACATTGCGATTTTATGCAGAGTTAGGTACACTATGGTCCATGCTGTAACACATAAAACAAAAATTGCTGGTTTCTGAGGGAGCTGAAAAGATATGCAGATCCGGGCCTGCAAAGTCCTGGTTTGGGAGAACATCTGAGAAACATGGTGCTCTGAACTCGTTTGAGACAGGATGTAATATAAACATTACAGATTAAGGTATAATATTAATTGGACTTATTTTGCATTTTCTAAGAACATCCTGACACTCAAACTGAGCCAGCATAGTGTAGCAAGCAGAGTAACTGACATAACAGGGACAGTGATGACCAACAGTCAAATGCCATTTCCACCATGAAGTTCATTGGCTAGACTCGAATAAAATTGTTTTTCAGAGTTACCAACTTTATAACATCATTGCAAGGAGAAGTTTGGGAAAACCCATACCCACCACACCGTTGGAGCTATTACACAGAAACAACCTTGCTTTCTGGTGTGGAAGCAGGAGGGAAACAAATAGGACTGGAAATATTTAAGCAGCCTGTTTCCTTGCTGGTCCTCTGTTCTCAAGCAGCAGCTGCTTCTTATAAAAAATAATAATGCATGGAGACATCATAGAGCTGCCTATCACATGTAAGTTGGCCCTCCATCACAAAAAATATGTGATTACTAATGAAAAAAATAGTCATATTTGAATTAAAGTAGCATACAGATTAGAATCCAGAACCACTGGAATATTTTATTTACATGCATTTAGTTCCCCTTATAATGGGTGCTAAGTGGAAAGTAGACTAGAAAGTTGACAGTAAAATGCAGAACATTTAAAAGGATTTGCCTTTTTCTTTTGGTTCCTCAATATAATTTTAACAGTCAATGTTTCCTCTTAGTCTATGGCTGTAGTAAGGGTGCCTATTGTCCTGGTTCCAAAATGCAGACACTGCTGGAAAGAAATATATCTTTGGAGTGGTCATTTCTCCAATATCTCAACAAAATGTACATAGCTAGAACATGATATATATCAGTGGGGCTAGTGAAACATGTCATGACAAACAACAACTAAAGAATGGAGATTCCACATAACATTTGGAAAAGACTTAGTACTGCTATACAATGAGGCATTAACAACACAAACAATATAATTTCTGATGGAAACAGTATCTCAAGGCAGCAAGCTTTTCTACAATTGTTATTTAAATGTACTTTTCTACAGTATGCTTCACCATTGATATTATATGTGATCTTGTGATAGAATAGTGAGGAAGTTATTAAGGAGGATATTATTCAAAAGATAGTACAGGGAACTTTGGCAATGTCTAAAAGTAGGAGTTTCCTGAAGCCAAGCCAAGGCCTTATGTCTTTCAACTTGTTAGGAAAGTAATTGCCTTGAAGCTGCCTTCCCCAGTCGTTCTGTAGATAAGGGCTGCTTGTAGCTGTGAGAACAAAACCATTCACCTAACTAAAGCAGCTTGTCCTCCACCCATATTTTCTGGGGTGGGGGCAGAGAAAAATGTAGCCTCTGTGTATACCAATAGGCTTTGCAATAGTGGGAGAGAGAAACTTTGCAAAATCCATGTATTTAGAACATTATCTTAGAGTTCCGTTTATTCTTGAGCAGAGAGTTAATGGAAAGAAGAATGTTCTTCTTCTTAATATTGCTCCCAGGAATTCAAATCCTTAGAGATCCTTTTGCACCAATGCCATGCAGGGCAGCATTAGTGTGATCTCCTATCTTGACTGTACCTGAAGCAGAATTGGCAGCTGCAGTCGTTTTCATAACAACCAAGTAGCTTCATGACTGATCAGGGAGTAGTACAGATCTCAGATGACCCAGTAGGGAGAGAAACAGATCACGGCTTAATTTCAGGGTATTACCAACACTTCATTCTGAAACTGATACAAGTGTATGGTCTGGTGTTTCATCATGGAACAGCAAAGAGATGAAATGTTTCAGTGAAGTAGGCCTAGGAATGTGCTTGTGCTTCAAATGTGGCTGTGCCCTTGCTTAGTTTAAATTGGAGTTAATTAGGCTTGAACTCAAACAGATCATTTGTACATGCTACTGCTTCAGTTTTTTAAATTGTGTCAGATGAATGCAGAAAAACAGACAGGTAAGCATGGGGAAGCTGTTACACACATATAAATATTGATATTTCAAGGGGCTTTTAAGTACTTACATTAGCAGCACCGAGAAGGATCAATGTAGGCCCCAGGCCAATCGTATATATGGACCGGAGCATTACAGAAACTAGAAAGGGGCGAATACCCACAGGTTTGGGGAAGAAGAAAAGCAGAGATGTACAGATGGCCACTGCTATCCAAAGGAGAACTGAAAATAATGGAGAAAGTGTGCCTAGAAAGAAAAAGAGAGAAAATACTTTTTTTCCCCTTTATAACATTAAATATGTATCACTGTTTCAAGACCAGTGTTCTGTCCAACTCAATATTCTGGCAGTCCACAAGGCAGAAGAGTGCATGAATAATTATATAATTTTATGTAATGATTATATTATTATTACATTGCATTTATCTCCTGTCTTCTCTCCTCTTGTGATGGCTTACATAGCTTCATTTTATCCCCACAAAGGCAACAGGGGGTTGGGCTGAGAGTCTGTGAGTGGCCCAAAGTCACCCAGTGAGCTTTTACCAGGGTGGGGACTAGAACCAGGTCTGCCAGGTCCCCAGTCCAACACTCTAACCACCAGACTGCACTGGCTGTGTTAAATAAATACAAATTATATGGTCCAACAAGGATCAGGATATGCCAGCAGCCCAGACTATGTAATACCTTTCCATGACCCTGCCTTATTCGGATCAAGAGCTATAACGGAGCAGTAGATCAAGTGAGCAAAGTGTCAACAAGGCTAGTAGATGAATCCATGAATAGCACCTTCTTCACAGGCATTAATAGCTGATAATGGTTTTCTTCATGCAGTGAAAGGTTTCACTTACGAGTATCTGCAGATCTAGCTGCAGTAAAAGCACTGTGACAGCATGGGCCGTTATTGTCCTTCTCATGAAATTCCAATCCAATAGACAGGTGATTAAAAATACAATTCTAGATATGTTCACCTGCAAATAAATCCTCATTGTGTTCAACATCCCACTGCGTTCAGTGATAGTTCCTAGTAATTTTGTATTGGGCTGACAGGCTACAATCCTATATTCACATTTACTTGGGAGTAAGCCCCACTGAGCACAATAACACCTGTCTTTCAGGGAACACTCAACGGATTCACTTTGGAATAATCTGAAATGATTCAGCACCTTGCTCTAGGCATATCACACTTTCCCAGTGTTAAATCTGCCCAGCAGGGACCCTGTGATGCATCAATCTAGCACACTTTTCACAGCATGAATGTTACTTTTGTGAGCACCCATTGCCAAATGGTGAAGACTATGCAAGATAACAGAATACATCAACTATAAAGGGGAGTTTAAAAAACAGCATGTAAATAACTGACCAAAAAGATGTCTATTTTTATTTTTTTACGATCTGTGTTTGACTGCTAGAGAAGCTCTTAATTCAGTTAAAGTCCAGGTATCCTTAAGAAGGGACTCAATAGCTTAGGATGGTGTCTTTCCCCCTTGCCCAATCCTCCCTTGTCATCTCTTGCTTCTACCTTAATTGTGCTTATATTGAGTTGTTCAGTTTTGCTCATCACTGTGGCCATGGATAGAGAGATCATTGGGGAAGAGAGGGAGAAATTAATTAAAATGTGATTTTCCCTTCTCCTCCTCTCCCATGTTGCTTGACCCATGCCTTATGATCATGCTGTTGTGTTTGAGAGACTACATCTGTGGGCAAAAAGAGAAAGAGGAACCACAGCCACGTGCAGCTAGTGAGTCAAGCAAGGAGGTGGAGAGGAGGGAAAGGCAGTTGCCAACCCAGCCCATTCCCACCCTCAGCCATCTGTCTGTCCTTCAGGACTGGTTGTAGACTAAGAACATAAGAAAATCTGTGCTGGATCAGATCTACAGTCCATTTAGTGCAGTATTTTATTAGCAAAAGTAGCCAGCTAGATTTGCCTTGGGAGGCACATAAGCAGGGGA